CTTCATCCATCCTATCCAACCCGACCAGGAGAGAAGGTACACATCGATCTGGTGAAGATGCCGAAAGGGGTAGGCAATGTGAACTATGTTGTGAACATACGAGACGACTTCACGGGGTTCGAGGACGGTAGACCTATCAGGAGTAAGACGGCAAAGGAAGTGAATAACTTCGTCCTAGAGTACTTATCTAGGTATGGTTGTGTCCGCAAGATAGTTATGGACAGAGGAGCGCAATTCTTGGCTGAGGAGGTTCAGAATGTATTCAAGAGAGCTGGGGCGAAAGTTTCAATAGCCACTGCCTACCACCCACACTCGAACTCCCCAGTAGAGAGAGGGCGCCAGACCCTGATAGCGTCGCTATCTAAGTGGTGCAAAGGCAAGGACAGTGATTAGCCACGATATTTTCGATACGCAATTTGGGCGGACAACATCACGGTCCGGGCTAGCACGGGATACCCTCCATACACCTTGTGGTTTGGCCGGCATTGTCCGCTTCCCATAGAGTTTCACGTCGACCGCTGGACAACCGTCGACTGGGCGGAGGAGATGTCCAGAGAGGAACTCATAGCTGCCCGAACAAGACAGATAGCCTACGGTTTGAAAGATAACCTTATGATAGCGGCAGGTCGTCCGGCAGTGGAAAGAGACAAAGGTAAAGAGAGATGGGATAAGAACGTGAGAATCAGGAAGGAGAGGGTGAGTGTTGGAGATATGGTCCTTCTCTACGATGCAGCGCTGGAAAGAACCTAGACCGTATAACTCGCCAACAGATGGATGGGACCTTACAGAGTGGTTGAGGCACTCGACTGGGGTGTATATATGATAGCAGAATTAAACGGATCCAAGTGGAAGGACCCAGTGGCGGGTGCTAGGTTAGAGCTGTTTAGGCCCAGGCCCTCGCCCTCATTATCGCTGACCAGCCCGAAAGGGAAAGGAAAAGCCATAATGGAGGATGGAGCCCCCTTGAGGCAATTCGAGGCAGGGGAGAGTTCCAAAAAAAGGAAAAGAATAGAGAAGAGAAATGTCAAAGGGTTAGCTTTAGGAAGAGAGAAGAGATGGTTATTCATGCTCAAGCGAGCTAGACGGAAAGTTCGCGTTAGACGTACTGGCGGGTCGGCACTTTTCTCGGGGCAAAGACAGAAGAAAAAGAGGATCGTGCCGGGGCCAAAAACCAGAACAAACAGGAGAGTCAAGAAGCATCTTCTTAGCCCCAGGACTCATAACGAACTGAAACATAAGGCAATTGAACGCCGACGTGGGCGTCCTTTACGGGCCATCACCCTGAAGCTCGTCCACTTCGTCTGACGTAAGTTGCTAGGGCTCGACGGGGGCGTCGAGAAGAGGTCCCGGCTAACTTTTAGGCGGCCACAAGGGATGAGCCGCTTGAAAGCTGCGGCTTTGGGACCTAGGCTCAAAAACAAGTGCGTGTTTTGATGGTACTCTGGTTTCACGAGGCAGCAAAAATTAGGGGAACTCTAGGCACCCCTGATTTTGTGCGCATTGAACCTTATCAGTAACCCTCAAAGATGGCAAAATGGGTAGCCGCTCCCGGCACATCTTGGAACCGTCACTTCCGCCCGTCCCGAGGCTAGACCTGAAATGGCCGGCCCCTAAGAGACATCGCGGGGACTGACCCCGCGGTAACGCCTTTTGCAGCACACAATCGGGGTCGAGTGATGCCTCAAATTTTTGTCAATTTTGATGCCGAAATTAAAATGGAAGAGACGGTTAAAGATGGTGGGATGAGAGAGAAAAACAAAATATTCTTTTATTTCTATAATTTCCATGACATTTAATTTTAGTAGAAACTCCGTCGTTATTTTACGTTTCCGGCAATGAGATCAAAAACGAAGAAAAGAGATTAAACATGAAAAAAAAAAGGGAAACAAAAGAGTTTCAATCATTTGATTTAAAACCCCTCAGTGTTTATTTTTTGTGAAATTGCGACTATTATACTAATTCAGACAATAGAATTAGGAAGAGAGTGAAATGATTAAAACAAAGACGGAACGAACATGAACTACTGACTATTCGATGTCTGGCCTGATTTTGTTTGGATTACCCATCGTCAGCTCGAAACCCCGAGTTGATCAAATTCTCTGAACTCTAACCCCTTTTGTTACTATCCCCTGATTATCGGGATTTTCCGCGTCGTTCTCGTGATTTACCTGACTATTGACCCTCTGAGTCAGTCCGAGGATGGTCACATGGGCAGCGTGAGACGGTGCTGCTTTGGACCAACGCTATGATATTTGGGTCGGTACGGACACCGGTTCGGAGGGGTTCCGGTTATAGTTCGGTGTTTTGGTTCGGGGTGAGCTCAGTATCAGTGCATTTCAGGTTCGGACATATCAGCGTGATTTATTGTCAGGCTTGGGGCTGCTACGACGATCTATTTCAGCTTCGCTGCCGCCATGGCGGTTTATCCCGGGCACTGTGCTATCGCGGCCATTGATTTCAGATTCGGTATGACTCGACACCGACATATTTTTTTTCCACCTCGACAAGGGCTCGACATCAGCTTATTTCAGGCTCGAGCAGATCAGGGTGATTTATTATCCGGTTTGGAACCACCACATTGATTTATTTMAGGRTCGGAACAGCTTCGAYGTGACTCCGACCGTCTACTTCCGGAYCAGCACCAACACGGCAATTTATTTCAGCATCGAAACCATTGCCACATTAATTTTCTGGTTCGGTTTGGGGTCGGCTGGCACGGTACGGGCTATTTCAGTTCTATGCGACAACRATCGSATGTGTGTATGAAAAACGACTCCAAATGATTGGTATGATTTGGTACGGGTGCTACGGTCGGAGGCATTGTCACGGAACAGTTGCTGCAAAATACCGCGGCCAGTAGCTGCAGCCCCAGACGGCTATGTCAATGGGACTCAACGGTTCAATATTGAGGCCCTCTTCATCATCTTGGGTATGWACGGCACTGGCGTGAGGCTTTGGTCTGTCACCGGACTGGTACGGTCCTTGGGCCAATACAGCCAGGTCACGGGGCCGCGGTACCATTATGCTCGGCAMAGTTTCTGATTTGGTAACTAGGACAGTTCTCTTTGATTTCGACTGCAACGCCTATCSGTACCGTTGGACTGGAATTCCCACAGTACGGGGGTACCCGGGCCCTCAGCAGCATGTGCTCCGTGAAAGGATACCGTCGCAGCATATAGGGGAAGGCAGCGAAGAGAGGGGGTACGTACTCAGTACGAGCAAGGTGTACCCGCGTATGCAAGTGCGGGGAAGACGCRCCAGCGCTGAGGCGGTTACTCCGCATGTGAGAGGAGTGACGTGGGGGAAAGGAGCATGCAAGGTGTACCTGGCCCACAACATAGTGGGATTCAGGCAGATCAACGCGTTGGGAGCAGCATGCAAGGCGTTCCCMGCCCACGTAGCAGGCACAGAGGGGGTGTGCGGAGAGACTGAGAAAGAGAGTGAGAGGATCAGACTGCGCAGCGTGCTCGAGAGAGAGGGAGAGAGACAGGGGGACTTGCCTTTGGGCGGCGTGCCAGGTATATCTGACATTCCGTTAGCACCTGTGGCGCGGGGTAAGGGGTAGAAATTGATTATGGCAGGGTGCCAGGAGTACGGGGCGCTAGTTTGACTGAGAGGTGATGGTTCGGGAAGGAGACTTGGAGAGACGCGCTAGGC